TAATAAACATAAAAATAACTTCAAATTTTTAAGCAGGGATGGCAGCATGGCAGTCAGCCAAAAGAACAAAATCTAGACAAAACTGGCCCTCATGTAAAATTGTTAGAAAAGCATAGTGCATTTGTCAAACACAGAATCTTTTTCTCTTTCTTTAATCTCAAAGTGAAACAGCATCATGGTACAACAACCGGAATGAGACACCGTAACTTGGTTCTTCATGAAAAACTTGGTTCGGAAAGATACCTTTTATCTCACAAGGTTCTCAGAAAGAAGAAAGTTTGCCGGTGCTTGAAGTGGCTTGTGATCCCTCTGACTTGATACGTTCATCGCCGGAAGCAATTTGCAGAGAATCAGAGAACAAAAGTCGTCTAGACTTCCCGGTGGCAACTTCAAGAGGAGCTTGGAACGATGGAGGTCCGGACGAGGTTGCAAGTAAATTTCTAGCGACTGCCACATCAGCTAAAGAGGATGTCGCAAGGCTGTAAGCATATATTCCCATGGGTGCTGCCATAGGATGGTCAAATTTGCAGTGTGTGCCAAACTTGCAGATACCATATCGTGAATAAAAAATGCATATGGGTTCTTCCTGTTAGCAAAATGGAACTAACATTAATCAAAACCATTATCAGAAAAAAAATGCAAGTGCATCCAGCGGTAGATCAATTGCCTCACAGTCAATTTTTAGTATATTAATATCCTATAGTTCTCAAAAGCACAGTTTGATCACTATTGCTAGAACGAATAGAGAATAGAACAATGCAGCTATATTTCCTGCAAAAAAAGTCCAACAGTGTAAATTGCTCATTTTGACTTTCGATAAGAAGATACAATAGAGAGAAGTACAGATGACTCTACCATCTTCTCATCAATAAATATAGATTGTAAATTTCAATCAATAAATGCATTTTTCACTGTATTATTTCTCTAACCTTCAGCTTGTCTAGGAGTTACTAATTTGCAGAAGCTAATTACCTAAAATGTGAAAAATCAAATGGATTCAAAAATCTTTAATTACTTGTAGAAGCTAATAATTATACTTTGTTAAAACTATTTTATTGTAGAATCAACTACTGAAGTAAACTAAACAAAAACACGTTTCTTGGTTACATTTCTCAGTGATAATGAAAGAATATTGAACCTGTTTTTTCTGTTAAATGTGAATGTTGCACGCTTCGGACAGAACATAATACATGAAAAAGGGAAAGAGGGAATAATGAGGTTGGAAAAAACTTACAGGGCGTAATGGAAGGCCTAGAGGACTCAGCACGCAGTCAGGGATAGGAATTAGTCTCTCCCTAGGATGATGGAACTTGCAGGCTGCACCGTATTTACAATCTCCGGTCTTCAAATAAAATTCACATTCAGGTTGACCAGGTCTCACAGGGAAAACATTGTCCCTTGCCAATACATACTGACCCAGAGGAATAGCACCGGATCGATAAGAGTGGATCATTCCTTGAACCCCTGTAGTCGTTTCACTCTGACGAGATGTTCCATAAAACGGAGTTGTCTGCGGCATATGCAGCTGACTCTCTGAAGATGAAACAGACCTCAACTGTCCCTGGGGAGGCATACAACACCTACCAGTAAACTAGTTATACCAGGATAACCTATATCATCTAACAGTATTAGATCTAACAAATCATATTGTTAAGAGGAAATATCAAAAGATATTCGAGTATTGAACATTTCATTTGGTCTAAGACCTAGCTCTTGGTCAAGCACATCGAAATGCAACTACAAATTATCATATATTACTAAAGAACAAGAAAATTGTCCATATAAGTTCATCGGACGTGGCTGTCGAGAAAGAGAATTTTGCAACAAACTGGAACCTCTTATCAATTATTTTTTGGTCCTTACATACATATGAATACTCATAACATAACATGGGCAAGATAAGCACATTTGAAGATGATGGCTTTTCATACAGATAATGCTATTTATCATGTATGGATGTCAGCAAATTTCTAAAGTAATGCACAGATGCCTCCTGTTCCTCCTCTTCTCCTTCTCCTCTCCACCATGGTTTGTACTGGCATATAGTGTGTCAGTACATCAACACAGACCAGATCTGTATTGGTCGTATCATGAACTGACATGGGTCCAATACCCAAAATGTCAATCCTTGATATTTAGTTGTATCTAAAATGCATTTGAATGTACACAATATGAATTTCATTCTTAGAAATGCAGCACACAGAAGTGCACCATTTCTCTGTATGCTGTAGTTCAAGAAAAGTAAAAAAGGATCAGGAGAAGAGAATAATAGATTAGCATTCCATTATGCACACAGCTTGCTGGATTGCACCATGATATTTTATCAGTCGTTTAAGAGAAAATTTGTCTCCATGGTTCAAAATGCAATTGATGTTAAAGATAAAATATCATGTCTGAATCATAAATATTCTGTAATGCTAGAAGGGCTTCAAATAAAATGGATTTACCGAAAATGTGTTCCAGCTAGGAACTTGAACCAAACCCTGAGGAAAAATCACTTGGGCATAGCTTGAAAGACCTTGCCATCGAGGGCTAGCAATAAAAGAAGCTCTTGACAAGGACAAGTTTGTCAAACCCCCAGTATAAGACTGCTGGCCAGAAGTAGGAGAATGAACACCAGGATAAACAGTAGAACCACATAATGAAACCATTGTGTTAGGCTGTGGATGGTGAAATTTACAAGTGTTCCCAAATTTGCACTCTCCATTTTTCATATAATATGCACATTCTGCTTCGTCCTACAATAAAATTATTATAGAGTATGCTATCATACATAACATAACAGTTGTACACTTGTTAGCAAGAACTTCCAGAAATATAATGTTTAGATACCAAAAGTAGCAGTTACAAACCGGACGAAGTGGATAACCTAAAACATTTAATTGGACTCTTCCAGCAATTCCTGCCTTATCTCTTGGGTGATGGAACTTGCATGTAGCTCCAAATTTGCATGTACCAGTCCTTAGATAGAACTAAAAAAGAATAACAAAAGAAAGTTGTGTCAGAAGAAGGTTACACAAGCACAAAATGGCATTCCAGTACTAATCAAACAAGCCTCATTCAGATAAAACTAACAGAAACTAAGCAGCATTAATCTGAAATGTATTCCAAGTATGTAGACATTCAATACAATAATTCATACAAGTCGACTTCAAAAATCTTTTTGTTGCAGATCACGAATGGCATGCACCAAATACTATCTAATCCGTCATTACATTACAGCAAAGAAATGAGATAAAGTGAAAGACAAAGGAAAGAGAGATAGAGAGCCTAGAGTGAAGAAGAGAAGTATCGGAGAGGAAAAAGAGCAGGCTCCTGCCCTCAGTCAGAATTTTGTTCAAATAAGAACAATATCAAACTTCCAATCACATGAGATTAGTTTCCTCGGAAAAGCCATGGCCACCATTTTATGGACTCTCAGGCCACGTTCGGTTAAGAAAAGTTAAAACATCCAACCCAACATAAAGCTGTTAACCCCCTCACAAACTATGTTATGTATGGTTGCAGATGTAGCTATCTGCTTTGTATAATTTGGCAAGAATGATTGCCAAGGTTAGTTTAAATCACACCTCTCACCGGATAACTTATTTAACTGTAATAATCTTCCTCTTAGTTGTCTTAACCTCAAACAGATGGCGACTTAGGTAAGAAGCTAGACATAATAACCACCAAAAGTGTAATGTTAAACAGCTAGGATTTTGAACTACAATTAGGAGTATTAAATACTTAATTCTGACTATTAAAGGATAATTTGGTGAGTAAAGACGGTTATAAAATCAAGTTCAGCTACATCTAATTCACTCCCATCAAAACTCACGAGAAAGGAACTTGGACCAGTGGATGCATTAAGAAGCATTCTGGATTGTCAGTAACAAAACTGAAATAAAGTAAACAAAAGATAAACCAAAGCTACAAAAAAAGAACCAAGGTGATTTACTGAATAAAGGAAGTACTAGACTAAAAGAAAATTGAAACCAGTAAAAGACATATAGTAACAGCATTTTAACTTCAGGAGCTCCAGAAACACATAAATTCAGTAACAGGAATTGCACATCAACTAATCGATTCCTGAGACACTTTCAAATACTAGCAAGCAACAATGGCAAATCTTTTACATATATACCAGAACTAATAACCATTATGGTGCGAACTTTTTATGTTATTGGTGCTTTTACTTTTCATTTGTTGATACAATAGCAAAAAGAAAAGTATGGTCCATACACCACAAGAGTGGGGGATATACCAGAGAACTAGATAGCATCTATGTAAACAAATACATGATACTAAACACTTAACATAAGAAATAAATGATACCACAAAAGCAACAAAAAGCAGCAATGTGCCAACAACTCTATCTTTAAAACAAACCAGAAAATTTGGACATATCGGAATATATAATATGCAAGAATCCCAACTATTCGATCTTCAATAATTTCCATTTTTCCTGCATTATCTAAATAATCATTGGAAAATCCAGGGAAAATAGGAAATAACTGAATATAATAAATGCAAGAAGAAATTGCCAGTAAACAGTTACCTCACATTCAGGTTGCCCAACTCTTTCAGGATATCCTCCCTTGATCCTTGCTGCCGCAATAGCCTGACAATTAATAGGACCTAATCAAAACCATCAGTTTTGGTGAACTCACACCATGAGTACATTTAAGCCATGCACAAATTGAGGTCATATTACAAACTCATAATCATACAGAAGAAACCAGTGAAAGGCGAATATACAATAAAAAATGACAAGAATGAATAAGTAACAGTCGTCAACAATGTTAAATGTCTTCAAGCATGTATTAATATGTTATAGAGTACTCTGAGCTACTCACAAATGATAATAATTAGTTTAAATAACAGATAGAAGCATATCTTTTTTAACCAATTTTTCCACACAACAGATTATTTGTTGCTAAGTCAAATAAGAATTGTGTCAATATATCTAAAGAATTACACCCTATTAAAATCAGACATCATTATACTTGACAAAAAGCATTTTGTTGTTCGCCAACACACCCTTGTCTGGGTCTAAATACGCATCTAGTGAGAACTTACACCCAAACCTACTGCCATCATTATGTTCTGAAAATTTTTACAGATATGATTCCTAAATTCGATTATCCTAATTAGTTGTGAGCCAATAAATAATGTTTTCTTCTTAATTCATAAAAGTACTACAAAAACTGACATAGTTAAAAAGTAGAACAACAAGATTGAAAAGTTTCACACAGGTTATCTAAAGCACGCACACAGCATGTTAATCACCTAGGAATAGGGGTGTTCCACATCAGAGACATCAGCACCAATTATTACATCATAGGCATCACCTATACAGGCTCTAAGGAATAAATATAATCAGCACCAATCATCATATCAAATGTCTAAATTGCTGCCGATTCATTCTTTAAGACATAAAAGCAAACAAAACAATTCCCATAATTGAAGCTGAAGTTGAATGATAGGGAAGTCTTGACAAGTAATGAGTGCTGAACATCATCAGGTTGATGATGAGAAATGTGAGAACAAGCAGAACTAATTGCATTTGGATGAGCTACATCCATTGACTTTTATATCTATGTTTTCAAAATAGCCTACAGTAGCAACATCTTACAAAATTTTCCTTTAAAAATACATTAAAAATCAAGTGCAGAAGAGATTGTTTATAGGAATGTTATATGTAAATGCAAAGCGGTGCCTGAACCGTATAGCTCAATAAGACAATTAGTGACTTTTGCAATATAATCACTCTGCACCATTTCAGCGTCCTGTACTTGGATAAGAACAAGGTTGGAACCACCGAAGACCACAGTGTCATTTGCAATCAATATGAAATAGTTCGTCAAGGTGGACAAGAAGCAGCCAGATGAGTCAGGTTTACCATCTGCCTATTCGGAGGATGATTGTATCTGCAAGTTATCCCAAATCTGCAAAGGCCAGTCCTGAGGTAATAAGTACAGTCCGGCTCCCGTGGACGCTCGGGAAACGGTCCGGACTCCACGGATTCGATCTCTCTCATTCTCATCTGCCACATTGTCACTGCAGTCGCAACAAATGCAAAGGTACGTGAAGGCACCAAAGCAAGACGACAAGCAAACATGAAACGATCAAACGACGAGGGGATAGCGATCGGCCCAACAAACCCTAACAAACCGGACCTTGATCGATGGGGGACCGGAGCAGCGGAGGCGATGCGGCCCCCATCACGTCCGCGGAGGACGCCATGGCGCCACGCTTGTCGACCCCGTCGGTGACGGCGGCGGCGTCGTCGTAGTCCATGGGCGGGCGGCGGCCATCGATCAGGGTCGGAGCAGGAGCGGCGAAGAGCAAGGTCCCATCGCGGAGGGGGTCTCGGACGATAGGAACAAGGGGAGGAGGAGAGGGGGAGAGAGAGACTCCGATCTCCACGAAGCGTGAGGAGGGGAATAAGAACCACCACCAACAGCCATACGCTCCGCCAGCCAGTCGTTTGGGGCCTTTCGCCCGCGCGATCGAAGGCTGCAGCGCAAATTTTTGCGGGCAAAATTGAATATATAGCCTCCAAAGTTAGTCATTTTCATATTTATTTCTTTAAATTTAAAATTATCATCAAAAACACTAACCGTTGTAATTAATCTTCGTGAATTAATGATAAGTATAATGGTATTTAAACTCGAATTGATATTAATAGCCTCTTGAAATTATTAGGAGGGTGAGAAACCAAATAATCGATGACAATAATGGAATCCGGTTTTCATAACCTGTTTGACGAAATGACCGAATGAACGGAGGGACAATGGCCCAAAGCTTTGCTCGTACTCGAGCAGCTGCACGACCCATATCCCGGACTGCTCCTCCGGTTGTCTCCTGTAGAGCGCACAAGTCGGCAAAATCTATCCAGTAACGATAGATATCGGCGGATTTATGTTTCGTTGGCACAGTAGAGGCTCGAAGAAATGCCGAAACGCAGCGATCTGTCGGTATCCTCTAGCCATGTTTCCGATGGGTGGTGTTGGCCTCACCATTCTTATCCAAACCATTCAGAGATCTCATGGCATAGAAGAGAGGGCCTTCTTATCCTCTCGATCGATAACTCTTCTGAAGTCAACTTGTTCTGCTTCGAGTCCTCCGGCGATGTCTTACACTGAGTCATCTTGAAACTGTTCATCTTCCCAGAAGTGCATTTAGAATCAATAAGACCATTATTGGAGTAGTTCATATCGCTTCTGAGGAGCAGCGATGGAGACTGACAATGATGGTAAGGACATGGCTTGGGCGCAAGCTTGGCCTCATGCAGAGTGCAGTGGGCGAAACCTCATCGATCCACGCCCGTGAATCTCCTGCTCATCACGTTTGGTCATCTTGATGACAGAAACCACTCATCACTCCACTGTGCCAAACCTTCCCGTATGTACCTTCAATCCCATGCAGTAGAGAGAGAGAGAGAGAGATGTGTGTGTGCACGCATTGTTGCCTTGTCTTGTCTCGGCCGGTGGTCACGGCCCGTTAATTTGGATGCTTTAAGAGTAGCAGTAGTAGTTGCAGACAAGAACAAGAACAAGGACTGTGAAGTGAATTATTTGTGCTACAATTTGATGTTTCATCAAAAACAGTGACTGCAATGATGAATTTGATCTAATAATACACTCTACCCATTGCATGTTTAGCTGCTACTACTCTGTGTGTGTATATATATATATATATATATATATATATATATATATATATAAAAGACCGCGGCATAATAGTAGGACATTATGGTTATTTTCAAGGGCTTCAGGGTAATTTAGGCTCTCGACCGTTGAAAACGGGTTCGGGTTAACGGAGGAGCGGTTCCGTTTCCCGACGGCTCCAACTCTACACGGGAAACGTAGATTATATATCCGTTCGCTCTCCCCGCAATCGAGAAGAGAACAAGAAGAAGAACATCGGCATTGGAAGACAGGATAAGGAGAAGGAAAGGAAGGAGAGAGAACAAAAGAAGTCATCCCATCGTCGTCGACGCCGATCCCCAAAAGCAGAATCCGCTTTCTCTATCTCCCTTGTCGTCAGTCTGAACCTTTTTCTTTTTCCCTCCTCTCTTTCTTCCTTTTTCCTCTTCTGACACCTCGTTCCTTTGTTGCTCGTAATTCTCGCTCTAATCGCGTTTTCTTTTCCCCACTTTTCATGCGGTGATAGAAGGAAATTGAGGACCGCCGTGGTTTGAAGAAAGGAATCTGATGCCTGCCTTTCGCTCAACTAAGGTGCTTGAGCCGAAATGATGCAGACTGAGTTTTCTGGTTTCTTGATTTACTGTTCTTGATCTTGATTGGCAAACTTTCTTGGTAGATCCTTGGGATTTGAGGCGAAAGATCGCTTCAAGATCGAATTTTTTGGAGTCTTCATTGCGAAGGTTGAATCTTTGGATCAATGGAAGGAAGGGGCGTAAGGCGGAGCGTGACGCTGTCGGAGCAGCTGGCTGTGGTGAACTGTTGTAATCTTCGGGATCTCCTCAAGGTCCAAGATGAGGACGAGGCGCGCCCCTCTATCGCCGTCGCCGCGTGCGGGAAGAGGGAAGCCTCCTCCGCGGCCGGAGGTGCCGGCGGCGGAAGAACGTTGCTCGATATCATGCGGGAGGAGCAGGAGACGAGTGGGGTGGTTGTAGGCGGTAATGCCGGCAATGGCATCAACTGGAAGTCGTTTAAGGACCGCATTCGCCTCGCCTGGGCGGCGTCATCCGGCCGGCCCAACCAGATGCCGTACCCCGCGCTCGTCGTCCCCGTGCGCCCCAACGCTGTCCTAGCCGGCAATTCCGAGATCCCCGTTCCGGCATCCACTCCCGGCAGCGGAGCCATCATCTCCGAGTACAACCCTGCCGTGGCGGCAACGTCACCGCCGGAGGAGCAGCCATCCGGCGGAACAGAAACAAGCGGCGGTGGAGAAAGCTCCGATCGTGGGGGCACCGCCGACGCGGCGACTGCGGAGGAGGAGCAGCAGCCAGCGAGGGTCTCGCTGATGGCCCTGCTGGAGCAGACGGACAGGCTGTGGAGCAGCGGAGGGGAAGGGTCCTCTCCGGTAGCGGCGGCGCTGGCGGCAGCCCTCGTGGCCGAGGAGGACGACGAGTGGGCGCTGGAGGACGTCGGCAGCGGCACAATGTACGTGTGTTGCGTGTGCATGGTGCGGCACAAGGGGGCGGCCTTCATCCCCTGCGGCCACACCTTCTGCCGGCTGTGCTCCCGGGAGCTTTGGGTCAACCGCGGCAGCTGCCCACTCTGCAACGGCTACATCCTCGAGATCCTCGACATCTTCTAGCCTGCCGCCGCCGCCGTCGCCACCCCACTCCTCTCTCCGACAACTTCCCTCATCAAGACCAGTTCTTTTAGATCATTTTCTTCATCAAACAGAAGACGGAGGAGGTAGTGGTGGTGAATTAGCCAAGTGTTTGTTGCATGTCTGTATCATTCTTCTTCTTCTTCTTGTTTGCAAGAACTATAGCAGCAAAGAACAGATTACTGTTGCTGTATCAGAAGCTTAGAACAAGGAAGCTGGCACAGTGATGATGTAATTAATGCAGATTACCTTGGCAAATGAATGATTAGAGTGGTTGGGTTTGATGAATCTAATTGTCTCAGTTTGTCTCATTAGGCACATAATGAGAGGTATGAGCAGCACAACAGTGTGAAGGAATGCAATGCATGATTGGAAACTTTTGTCTCTAACTCTGTTCTGACAACCTGTCCAGAATCCAGCAGCATCCAAAGGCTTCACTGTTGGGAAGATGGGAGTGGATTGAAGCCTGTTGCCTTCCTCAGCCATGTTGAAAGGTGAGTTGGTGGTGTAGCCAATGCCACCCTTGCAATGAATGGTCCATCACACTGTCAAACATCTTACATAGCAGTATCATGTCATGTGGACCATTCCAGGGGTAAAGATAGCACTTTTCTGCAGCTCCAGAGAGAGAGAGAGAGAGAGAGATCCAAAAAATTGGTTGTTGGGCTACCTTTTCCTCTTGCTTCCAATCAGTTCAGTCTCTCTCATCCACTGTTTATGAACAGTGATTGGTTTGCAGCATTCCAGAGAAAGGCAGAGAGACTACAAGAGGGAAACTTTTGTAGCTCCACTGCAAACCCAGTTCATCTGGACCCTCTCCTGCTTCTAGTAAATTTCTTTCACCAACATAATTATATCTAAAAATATATTAAACATATGACATGATTTATATTTTAAATATTTTTCTCATGTGTGAATGGCAAATTATTAGAACCTAACACAATAGAACTTGAATTGGTAGGTGTATCTAAAAGCTTATATTATTAATATCATCCTTTTTTCTCCTGTGATGAACTGATGAGCTAAAAAGGAAACAACAGTTGAACTGAGGCCATCCACTCTGTTCAACGAATTGGTGTCCTACAAGTTAAAGTGAAATCCCAGAGTTGCTGCAAGTTGAAGAGGTCTTACACACTTCTCCAAGGATTAGGAGGAACAGTTGGGCTACTTATTGTTCTTGTGATCAGCATCAGTCTCTTTCCATCAACATCATTGCATTCAGAATAACCCTTGAGAAGTCCCACTTCAAGTCAGAGTTGTTGGACAAGAGAGAGATTTGAAGAGGATGAGTGACACTAGAAGAGTTCCATGTGATCCTTGAGAAGACCAAATCTTATTACTTTTGCTGCTTTGCCCATTAATTAAATTGATGCATGACATCCCAATAGTGTGATAAAGGAGGATTAGGAAGTGTTTGATGAAAAGTGTGGAGTTAGAGCACATGAATTTTGTAGCTTCTTACTGTCTGCTATATGCAGTCCATTAGACTAAACATCAAAGCATAATGATAAAAGAAAGAAATCATGTACAGTGCTCAGTACATTCTAATGTAAGTTGACCTGATTTACCCAATGTTGCTTTAATATGAGATAAAACTTTAGACTTTGGAAAGAATTGCCAATTAGATTGACTGAATTGCCACATAAAGATTTAGTAATATCTGTGAGGAAAGATACAACAATAAAAACTCATAATATTGTAACTATTATAAGATTGATGCCTAGGAACATAGATTCTGACATGTATTAATGTGAATTAACCTTTCACTTTGGTTGCATGCACTTGTATTAGCATTATATATATATATATATATATATATATATATATAGTCTATTTAAAGGAAAATGGAAACTAAAGGCTGTGGTGGTAAATCATCCTAAAGAACATGCAATTAATTATCATGATAATCTATTTAAAGGAAAACAGAAATATATATACATCTTCCATAATGTCTATTTGGATTGTTTAGAAAGTACCTTTTTTTGTGTTTGATATACAAATATCTATCTTTGATAACATGAGATATTGTTACATTAAAGTTCCAAAGATCTGGATTATAAAAAATAATTGAAGTAAAGTTCCAACTGAAACACATGCTAAGGTATCATGGTCTAATCTAAGCATGATCAATTACCATGATATAACGACTTCCTTTCTTATAGATTGGCCCTTAATATTCTAGGTAATCATGGAGACACAGGATTGGACCGGTGTGCTCTTTATTCTTTCTTCATTTTGCAGTCACCTAGAGGACTCCGAAGAAAGGATTCTCCATGGCAGAATTCAGCTGTGATAATGCTGCGCTGAGAACAGCCATGTCCACCTTGTCCCTTGGTAAGTACAGGTATTCATCCCCTTCAAGCTTCTCAAATCCACATAGCTCAAGAAACTCCATGCCTCCTTTCAGCCTAGCAACTCTCTCCTGTTTAGAGCAGTTGGGAAAAGTATGTGCTTTTAGTGTCTGAAGAATTAGGACACAAGAATCAAGTTGACATCCACAAAATCATTCAGTTTCCGTCATTACCTGAAAGTTGGGGTTTCCGAGTCGAATTTTCCTGAACTTCTCTGCATCCGGATTCATCGCAACATTCCGGACGTAGATAAGAAGGGTTTGGAATGCTCTTTTCACTCTAGCATCATCATCCTACCATATTAGTAATCGTCAACAAAAACAAGAGTAATTGGCTCAAAGGATGTTATTGACCGTCATCGTCCACATGTTTCTTTTATTTTGTGAAAGAGGCATGGAAATAAACTCATGAGAAACCAAGCTGACAAGAAAACATGAATTCATGTGGTAGATCTAAAGCACAAACAAAAGAGTTCTGAAGTAGGATAACACCAGCAATCTATTATCTCTGCAACTTAATAAAATATGGCAGCCTCAACAACATGAATAGAAGATGATCATGAAGCTGTGAATAAGGCAAGAGTGAAAACAAGATGATCAAATGAACTATAATATGGGTGATTTGCTGATAAAGCTACATAAAAGAGGCACAATATGGGCCGAGTTACTTGTGAGGGACTCCATAGCTTCACAATTTATAAAAGATAGATTTTAGCTTGTGCAGTTATTCTGAGACTTTTCCAGACTTAAACAAGTCAATGACATTCAACTTACAAATAACACGTGATCACCTTGTGAGTTTTCTTAAGAGAACGTAAACAATCCCTCATGTGCTCTGCCTTTGTGGCAGGATTGACAGACACTGAACTCTGCATGTCACCAAATAAAAAGGTCAACACAAAGATCCAAGTTTTGTACTTTAAACTATCTTGATTTGATACAATTAACTTTACCTTCTTTCCCTGTGAAGGAAGGGCAGATTTGGCATCTCCAGGATCTTGAGGCTGCAATCCCAGCTTGCTTCTTCTTTCTGCCTGAATTGTGTGGATATTAAGTGCAGACTAATTTCACATTAATGTCTGTTCCAAATAACAACCAATAAAAGAAAACTCGATCAGAAAGAAATAGTCAATTAAATCAATCAAGACCTTATCCTCCCGCAATTTTTGAAGTATTTTTTCTCTTGCTCTTTTCTCTTGCTCTTTCTCTACTTTCCTCAACAGCAACATTCTGCAGAAAAAGAAATGAACTGGCATTCAAAAGGACAATAATATTCTGCACGGTTGTAACATGGAAAGGGCAAAATCTATTAACTATAAATCAATTGAACAGTCACAAGCCTTTTTCTTTCATTTTCCTCGTTAATTTGCTTTGCTTGCAGAAGCTCTTTCCCTGCTCGTATTCTGTCCTACAACAAGTGCAGAAATGTAATAAGATTCAGTCACTGAAATCCAATGAAACTAGCATCACAGATAGTACCTACCATATGAACAGGTGTCAAGCATCCAGAAAACAATGATCTAAATTACAGGTGAATTAATTTTTTTTTTTACCTAGGTGCAGGTGAATTATAATGATGAACATTCTCCCTCTCCAAATTAATTGTGAAAATAATTCCACAAAAGAATTGAGATCGGGAATGCTGTGAGTTTCTTAACTTATATTTTCTGATATTACCTATAAAATGGAAAATTAAAAAAATAAACATGCTGAATACAAAGGATATGTGCTTAAAAATAACTTTGTTATATTTTGAAGAAGGAACATTTCTTGAGGAAGTGGTTCCAACTGTAATGCTGAATACAACTATATGTGCTTTCTTCCTTATAAAGTCACATGAGCCACATGCCAAGATTTTATCAAACCATGAGATTGTCAAAGGCAATTCGCGGAACACTTGCACACACAGGGGAACCTGTCTACTAGGCAAGTGCTAAATAGTAAGAGCTATGGAACTAAAAGTGCCAAAAGAAGCATTAGAAGTGATAAATTTACTAACTCCACATAATATGGAAAATATAGAACATAAAAGGCCTGGAGCATAAGAAACATAAATTATAGAAATAAAAAATTTGTATGGCTACATCCTCCAAGAATTTCTTCAATTATTCTATTACACGTTAAACACCAATATGGACAAAATAAATATAATTAGTTCTAAATTGGAACTAAAAATTGCATCATGCTTTGCAACCATATGTAACTTGGATGTTTGCTGCTAGGCTCCAAATGGTGTCAAATGAACATCAACCACACCTTAAACATGGAATACCATGTGGTGTTTATTGAAGCCCAACAATACGCCATGCTTCGCAAGCTTGCATATACAACTTCAGATACATGCATCATATGAAATAAGAAATGTACCTTCTTTCTTTCTCTTTGTAGTCCTTGTTCTTCTTCATCTCTCTTTTTGCGAGCAAGTTCCCTGTAAGTATCAAATTGAGTTGTATGATTCTTGAACATCTATTTTGCCGCTGTAACTTTTTAATGCAGGCCTAAAATCAGGAGATGAGACACTGAGGCTACATGTTGAACTTGTGCAAGTGGTTAGTTTCTAAAGCTAACAATGTATAGATGTCAAGCTGGTTCGAATCTAGGATTAAGACTGTCAAAAACAAGCAAAAAAGTAGTCATATTAAGTTCAATATTTGAGAAACCAAGCACATGAGAAACAATTTAATTTGTGTATGCTTAATATATATATTCCTGATATAGATTGATCTTTAAACATACTCTTCCAATGAGCACTACATAATGATCTATTCTAGACAAGACTCAAACAATACTAATCTGCCTTAAGTGTAGATCTTTATAATACAATAGGAAAAGGCACTACTTATTGTTCTTTTTCCTTTTTATAGACACCATTTTGATCTAGTTGATTAGCATAAGAGATTAAATTTCATCATAAAAAGGGATTAAGAGATTTAAGCTAGCTGAGTCAGAATCATCAGGTGTTCATAACCTCAACAAAGAACTGCAAATTGTAACAGAATCTCATGAATACTACATCATATGCCCTTGTTTAACAACATCAGAAATTCGACATTGTCAGTATACTGAATAATCTTCGAAACTCATTGTTAAGAAAAACCAAGTTTCTGTATGTTTGCCTTAGATTGACTCCAATGTAGCCACTTATGTTTTCACTGCTTTGCAGAAAACTAATTGTAATTTTGCTCTCTCACAAAACACACCAAAACTTGTGTCAGACAGAATTCACAACTATCAACATTCTTCCTGTCAATAAATGATAAATACATTGGAGATGATACAAGAAAGTTCTCCAAAATAATTGACGAGTCTTCACAGATAACTTCCAAATTCAATGTCAAACCTCTATGAAAAGATAGTTTAAGTTACTGCAAATGGTAGCAACAAATGTTGGCCACCTTTTGAGGATAAGAATGCCAAACATAC